TGCGTCTATCCTGCGAACTGCCAGTAAAGCAGTTGCTCAGGAACTGTCAGTCGACTCTCGCCGCCATGCAGCTCTTACAGCTGCAGTTCCGTTCTGCCTCTCAGGCCCGGCTTAGCCTGCTAGAGCCGCAGAAGCAGCTGTACATGCGCGACGACGAGACGACTGCTGACTTCATTCAGCGGGCGGAGCAGCTCCGCAGTGACATTATCTCGGCGGGTGGCCAGTGGGACGAGGCTGCTATGCGTCATGCAATTCTCCACGGTCTGCCTCCACAGTACGCTATTACTGTAGAGTTCGCGATGTATTTGCCCAACTTGACTACCCCGCAGCTCGTGTTCATGCTGCGGGAGAAGGAGAACAACCTGAAGGCCCAAGCAGTCAAGTCCGGCCTGGTTGGAGCTGTTGGCCCTGGTCGCACCGCCCGTGGAGTCCGCGGTGCTGCTGGCGCCTCGGGCGCCGCGGGGGCCAACGACACCTGCCGCTACTGTGGACAGCCTGGGCACTATGTCCGTGAGTGCCCCCTTAAGCAGGCGGACGTGTCCGTAGGCCTCTACCGCAGCAATGCGTTTGAGCAGCCACGCAGCACTGGCGCCGGCAGCAGTGGCAGCGGCAACCGCCATCGTGATGGAGGCGGCGGAGGCACCAGCGGCGGCAATAACAGCGGGGGCGACAGGACGCGCGAACGCGGCCGTGTTAGACGCGGCAACGGCCGCCGCAGCGGCAGCGACACTGCTGGCGGAAGCAGTGGCGGCGGCGGCGGCGGTGTAAGCTCACGCCAGAACCGTGCCACGGTGCTGGTCGTTGATGGCAGTGGTAGCAGCTCACGTGTTGTCCTAGACTCTGGTTCGCCTTGCCACCTTACAGGTGACCGCTCGCTGTTGCATAATTACGTTCCTGCCGGCGCGCCCAAGCAAATTAAGTGGGGGAACAACCAGCTAGCCGACGTCATGGGGACAGGGCAGCTACTCCTACGGACGCGCGATGGAGAAACCGTCTTGCTACGCAACGTGCTCCATGTCCCCAGCTCGGGACTGACGCTCATGTCTGTCGACCTTCTCGTGACGCGCGGCTGCTCAGTCACGTTCGGCACGGACAAGTCAGGCCGCCGGTTCTCGCGCGTAGGCCTGCCGCACGGCGGTTCGTCTATCACCGCGTGGAGCGAGCGTGGGCATTACGTCAGGGACGTGGACCTTCTAGTGCCGACCAAACGCGCCGTCAGTGCGCTCGGCGCTGCGGAAGTCAGAGCCGGTGGAGGTAGCAGTGCTGGCGGATTTGCCGCCGGCGCCAGCAGCAGTGACGCCGGCGGAGACCAGCCGAACGGCGCCAGCAGCAGTGACGCCGGCGGAGACCAGCCTAACGGCGCCAGCAGCAGTGACGCCGGCGGAGACCAGCCGAATGGCGTCAGCAGCAATGATGCTGGCGGAGACCAGCCGAACGGCGCCAGCAGCAGTGACGCCGGCGAAGGTCAACCGGACGGCAAACTGCAGGATAAGCTCAGTCCCCGCACAGAGGCGGGAACCTACCTTGGACCGGAGCGCGGCACGGCCGCCCACCGCGTCCTCATCGACGGCAAGGTGACTGTTAGCAGCGATGTCACCTTCGATGACGACCTCGGCGGCCTGGCGTCTCAGCGGGCGGGCACCCCCTTCAGCGCCAGCCCCGCCCGTCCTGGCGGCAACGACCCCGTCGGCGGATCTACACAGCCTGTCACACCGCTGATTCAAGTGGACGCCCCGCCCCCAGTCAACCCAGCGTCCACTCTCCGCCCTAACACTTGCAGTCAACGGCAACCGCTGCACCCGCCGCTGGCCCCAATCAGTGCGGCCGACAACAGCTGCGGCGGCGGCGGAGATTTGGGTGGACTACCGCTGCTTAGTAAAGCGTCGGGTAGCACAGATCGCGCTGACTTTAGCGTGCCTGACAGCAGTACTAACGGCGGAGGCAACAGTGCAACCTCCCTGCGGGCACTTCTGGCTGTGGCAGCGGCCAGGGGTATGACGGTCCATCAGGTGGACGTCAAAACGTGGCGGATGTCAAAGTCCGTCTACGATCTCAAGCAAGCCCCGCGCTGCTGGTACGAGAAACTGGCGGCGGTGTTGGGCAAACTAGGCTATGGGCCGTCTATGTCCGACCCCGCGCTATTCGTCAAGCGCGGGTCCGACAGCTCAATCTATGTGCTCGTGCACGTTGACAACATGCTGGTGGCGGCGGACAACTTGCAATTGGTCACGGCCGCCAAAGCAGCCATCACCGGTTGCTTCGCAGTGTGTGATTTTGGATAAACACGCTCAGCCTCGGCAACAACCCCATCACGTCGGTGCGCTCCAAGCACATCGTCGTGCACCACCACATCGTGCGCGAGAGGGTCGCGCGTGGTGAGGTGAAGCTCAGCTATTGCACCACCGACGACATGGTGGCTGACATCCTAACCAAGGCACTGGGCGAGGTCAAGTTCGTGCGCTGCCGCACAGCGCTGGGCGTCACTTAGACCGCCAGAGGAGGAGTGCTGAGGGCTTTGAGGACTTGTTTTGAGCTAGACTTTAAGGGGGTGCTGAGGGGGCGTGAGCAGGCGCCCGAATGGGCAGGTTAATGCCCGAAGGGGCGCCGTAGGCAGTGCGTTTGGTGTTGTACGGCACTGTTTTCCCTGTTTGTGTTTGTACAGCAGCGCCAGACCGCATAGCCATCAGGCTGAAGGCTGGCAAGCTGCGTTTGTATCTGCTGAGTGTTGAGCAGTCGGCCTGGACCGCGGACTTGTCGGCCGATCTAGCTAGTCGGTACTAGCAATTTGTAGTAAGGCCCCTAGTGCGACACGAGGGGGCGTGTTGGTGCGAAGGGTTGCCGTGTCGCCCTGTGGCCTGTTTGGGTAACTTGTCAGACTATCGTGAGTGACAGCTGAGGCCGGTCTGAGGTCGTATGTTAGACTGAGTGACAGCTTTGGACCTGTCTCGGGAGGCCCGTCAAAACGGCTGTTAAGTTCTAGCGTACCGGTAGCTCTCGTCCTTTGGGATAGGCTTTCCAAGCCTTTATAAGTCTCTGCTGTTTATCGGTAACAGTACCTCAGATTCACACGTTTACGCCTAGGCAAAGGGGCTTTCGGTGGTAGGTCGCGGATCTCCCGAATACGTGTAACGGCTAATGTCTCCTTAGTCGTGTCTGCTAGGTCCCTGTGAGATAGCGTCTCACCAACAGTTTTTGTTATTCAGCACGCGTCCCGCCCCCCCACCCTGGAGGCCGCGTCGCCCGCCCTTTCGCTCTGCCGCATTCGGTGCGGCCTTTTCTTCGATCAGGCTGTGAGAGCACAGCCAATATCTGTAACAGAAATGGCAATAGACTCGTAGCAGGAGCTAATGGCCCAGTTGCTTAAAAAGAAAGGGGTGGTAATAGGGCTTACACAAAGAGGTGGTAATAGGAATGGAGTGGAGTCATGCACATGGACACCCTTGCATGGCATAAGGAATGCGAAACATCGGTTAAATAGGATTAGAAATGCACATACTGTAGTATAGAACCAACAGTGCTGCATGCCGCCAACGCCCGTGGCCCTGCCTCGCTGAAATTTCTGGTGTAATCCGACCTCGAAATTGCAATATAGAATGGACAACATTTATACAGAGTACCTGGCAAGAGCGCGGGGCAGTCCAGATGGCCTTATCACTGCTGGCATGCTCCTAGCCCTCTACGGGGACTTCAGGAAGCTCGGTGACCAGCCTGTCATGCTGACTATTTGGACAAGGCTGAATGCTCTTCTGTGTGAAGGCAGAATGACTTCACCAGGAGAGCAGTAAGGTTTAAGTCGCCACTGCGACCCAGTTGTACGACAGTACCACAGAACCAGCCTTAGAGGCTCCGGTCGCTTCGCTCCGTCGCATCTAAGCCAACAATTCTGTGTTACTGTCTCCCTTAACTGGTTCTGGTGGCTGTGGATTGTCTGACCCGACGGTGCTGAACGGTGTGGTTTGGACGATTTTGGCGAGAATTGCACCTCTGCCTAGGGCCTTACACAGCAGACCGAAGAGACATTTGCTCACTGGCAAGGCCTAGGCTGCGGGAGACGGAGAGTTTCGCCTCCCCGTCGTGCTGCGTGTAGTGCTGCACCATGGCGTCGCTGCACCACCGGCCGTGCGCCTTGTGCAGGTCCGCAGGCACACCGTGATCGGCGGCAGTGCTATTTCCTCCTATGCGCATGGAATGTGCAGTGATGCGGCGGGTGATCCCCGCCGCTTGCAGGGTCTTGTTGAGCCGGTGGCAGAAGGCAGGGTACGACAGAGAGTGGATCGGCTGGGCCACCATGCCTGTCAGAGGGCCCGACAGGTGTCCCCCGGCCCTGTTCCACTGGACAGGCCGCAGAAGGGGCCCGACATCCTCGTCCGGCGTGTCTGGGCGGCGTTTGTACCGTCCTAGGGTGAGGAGGCGCTCTGTCAGGCCTACGGGGCAGGCGGCACCATCGACGCGGGCGATGGGAACCCAGTGACCTTGTCTCTGCTGATCAGTCTTGGACCGAGGGATGAAGACATCCATCCCGGTTGCCGTGATAACCAGAAGGTCCTCGTGAACGCTTATCTCCGCAGCGTCGTCAAACCGAAAGAACCCTGTGAACATGACTGCAACTGCCGTAACGGTCATGAGTTGGTCGAGGGGCGGCTCTGGCCCACCAATCAGCCGGGTCAGTGCCGTGACGTCCACCGGCTCCAGGGTGTCGTGTTCCAGCTTGCGGCCTTGGAGTTGCTTTTCAGCGAGGTCGCGGACGATGCTGCAGGCAGGGTGCTCTGTAGGGGACACTCTGCTGGCCAGGCGGAAGTAGGAGCTGATTGCTGCACTCGCTGTGCGGACCCGTCCAGGCCCCACCTTATCTTCCTTGGACGAGTTCAGCAGGGAGAGCAGGTAGAGCGCCACCACCTCGCCCGAGGTGTCATAGATGCTTCCAGGCAGTTGCCTGGCCGCCCACCACTCACGGAAAGGTTCCCAAGACCGCGAGTATTCGTTGGATGTCCGTGGGGCGAGGGTCTGCCCGGCCACTTTGGCGAATTGAGTCGCCAAAGTGGAGAGTTCCGCGTCTGCCTCCGCACCAAGAGCGACCAGGAGAGCCTCGGCCCGGGTGTCTAAATCTGTGCGTGGGGCGCAATTGGATCGGCGGGGACACGGATGCGGTTGATGTTAGAGGCCGAGAAGTCGACCAGAAGGGCCAAGGTGGACCAGCATGATGCGCCTTTGGGCAGGGGGACCCCTGAGGTGCGGGCCAGGAAAACATCTGAGGCCCGGCCGAGCGTGCGGGCTCCGCTCACGAAGGGTTTGAACCAGACCCCGTCAGCCGTGATGAAAGGCCACCAGTCGCGGGTAGGCCAGAAAGGCGCGACAAGGCAGAGCTGGTACTTGCAGGCCTCGGCGTGCTGCAACACCCTGAGGAGGAGGTGAAAGGGCGGGTTCGCCCAGCACCTGCGCCCCCATGAGAACCTGAACGCATCGACTCCAGACGTCGTTGGGGTAAAGTAGTGGGAGTAGTACACGGGGAGTTGGAAGTTCGCGTGGGACGCAAAAAGGTCGATGTCGAAGGGGCCCCAGGTGTCGTGAAGTCGGCGGAATATGCTGGGCTTCAGCACCCAGTCATCAGGGTCTTGCAGTTTCGAAAGCGCATCAGCAAGCTGGTTCTGGCCGTGGGGTCGCCACTCTGCTTGCAAGCGGATGTCCTGTTCGAAACAGTAGCTGTGCAGCTCGCAGGCGACCTTGTGGGAGTTGTGGAGCCCTTGTTGACAATGTTCGTGGCGTTAAGGTTGTCAGTGATGACTTTAACCGACTGACCAGAGAGACCGGCTGGATTGTCGAACGATTGAATCGCGTTCAGAATGGCCTGGAGTTCCTGCGGGGTAGACCCCATAGCGCTGACGTCGGGCGTCCACTCGCCGCGTGCTGGCGCCAACTGGCCATTGAGGATAGTCCAGGCCCCCCAACCTCCGAGAGACTCAGAGGATTTGCCTGCGGCGTCGCAAAAAAAGAGGGAATGCACCACGGACGGAACCCACATGTGCCGGTGGCCATTGTGACCGATCAAAGGACGATTCCCAGAAAATCAGCTCCTCCCGCGCATCATCAGAGAGGAGGAGGTGGGTTTTCCAAGTCTGGCGAGTTTCAACGAGTTTACCGAGAGCTCGGGTGTGCAGCCGGGCCCAAGGTCTGAGGGCCCAAGACATGGACAGTATTTGGCCTTTTAGGGATGCCAATAAGCGGGCGGTCGAGCACCGCACCGTGAGCACGCAATTGATCGTGGATAGGAGGCGGTCCTGCTTGTCGCCTGGCACGATGAAAACGCCGTCCTTGGTATCGATAAGCATGCCCAAGTATTTAATGCGATGGTGCACGGCCCCCAGCATAGATTTCTCTTTATTAACCAGGAAACCAAGCGCCTCCAACTGAGCAACCACTTCGGCCCTGCACCGTACCAAGTTATCAGTGTTCTGGTCTGCGTGAACCTGATCATCTATGTAGCCCGAGCATCGCCAGCCGCGCTTGTGCCAGGGGCGCATGACTTCTCGCATGAGCTTCGTGAACGCCCAGCAAGCGGAAGCGAGGCCAAAAAGCAGTTGCGTGAAGACATAGAAGACGCCTCTCCAGCAGAAGCCGAGATATTCCCAGAACAGAGGTGGTGGTAGCCGCTTTTGAGGTCCTAAGTAAATAGGTAATCGTCTGGGAGTAGCCAACCAGGAACCGCCTTCAAGTCTTCGTAGCGGAAAGAGGGGACGTGCAAGTAATCGTTTACCGGCCTGCCGTCCCAAATGAGCCGGAGCTTAGTTGCCTGCTGCACGACCCCCAACGGGCAAACCACACGAGGCTGCATCGGCCATACGCGGGCTGTGCCCGACGCCAACAGGTCCGCGATGGCTTTGTCAACGAACGCGGTGTTGGCGGTTGCCGAAGCGTGATTGCGGCCTGAGTGCTGGGGGGGGGCTGGAGACCCAACGGAGTGGGAAGCCCGACGTGATGCGTGAGATGACCAGCGTGTTCACAACCCAAGCCTTCCAAGCGCTCTTTTTGCCAGAGAGGCGTCCTCTCGTCTGGGGCGGCGTGGGAGGCTGACCCGCTGCTGGTAACGACCGAACTCCCAAGGCGTTGTCGGAAGTAGGACTAGAAAACTCCCCTTTAACCTTCTGGAGGTCACCCGGGGCCTCAACCTTCGCACCTTCTGGTGCCACCGCGGGACAGGCTGGTTGTTTCCGATGCGTGGCCAGACTTGCCGGGACTGACACGGGGTCCAGGTTTGGCTGATGGGCAGGGGCAGGGCCCGGTGCAGGCCGTTTGGGGGCTGGCATGTCGTCGGGGGCTGCAGCAGGTGGGCCACGCGGCTGACCTAAAAGGCGCTGCCTTTTGAATTGGCTGGCGTTGCGACTGACGGACATCTGGGCGTCTTCCGCAAGGCCCGGACGCGAGAGGGCCTCCACCCCTAGCTCTGACAGGAAAGCGATAGCGTCGTCATGAGAGAACGAATCCATGGTTCCTTAGACGGAATTCACTGGTGGTGGTGGAAGCCTGCGAGCGTGCACCGGACGGACTGATGGAGACACGGGTGAGCGAGGAAGTAGGACAACACTTAAAGAAGGACGACAGGCAAAAAATGGGTCCCCCCAGCCGGCCGGCTGCCAAGGCGATTTAATGGACTGCTTGACTTGAAGCGAATTGTCCCAAGAGTACGGCAAGTGCTGCCACAGAGTGAACCCGTACGACGGTCTGTTCACGAACTCAAGACAAGAAAGGTGATAGAAGAAAAGCGGGAGAGGAAGACACCGCGAATAAAGAAGGCAATCGACGATGCTCACGTCTGCACGCATGGGTGCCAACAACTGCGCACACGGGCACCTCAATTGCACTCGCGGGTGCCCAACTCGATGCTCGCTGGCAACTTCATAGCGGCCAGAAAAGATTACTCCTGCACACACGGGCGCCTCAATTGCACTCGCGGGTGCCCAGCTCGATGCTCGCTGGCAACTTCATAGCAGCCAGAAAAGATTACTCCTGCGCACACGGGCGCCTCAATTGCACTCGCAGGTGCCCAACTCGATGCTCGCTGGCAACTTCATAGCGGCCAGAAAAGATTACTCCTGCACACACGGGCGCCTCAATTGCACTCGCGGGTGCCCAACTCGATGCTCGCTGGCAACTTCATAGCGGCCAGAAAAGATTACTCCTGCACATGCGGGCGCCTCAATTGCACTCGCGGGTGCCCAACTTGATGCTCGCTGGCAACTTCATAGCGGCCAGAAAAGATTACTCCTGCGCACACGGGCGCCTCAATTGCACTCGCAGGTGCCCAGCTTGATGCTCGCTGGCAACTTCATAGCGGCCAGAAAAGATTACTCCTGTGCACACGGGCGCCTCAATTGCACTCACGGGTGCCCAACTCGATGCTTGCTGGCAACTTCATAGCGGCCAGAAAAGATTACTCCTGCGCACACGGGCGCCTCAATCGCACTCTCGGGTGCCCAACTCGATGCTCGCTGGCAACTTCATCACGACCAGAAAAGATTACTCCTGCACATGCGGGCGCCTCAATTGCACTCGTGGGTGGCCAACTCGATGCTCACTGGCAACTTCATCGCGACCAGGAAAGGTTACTCCTGCGCATGCTGCACTGACCGGTGTTGGTCCTTTAAGAATTGAAACGGCACGCGGGCCTAGAAGAAAGAGCAGGGCACGCGGGCCCACTTTACGGCGCTAACACCTGAAATACACTACTTGCCGCTGTGGCGGCCATTGCCATTGCGATCACTGCAATCATGGCGCTTTGCATCACGACTTAGTCATGACCTCCACGCTGGCCGCCACCCCTGTGGTTGCTGCTGCGCAATCCGCCACCGCTGACAGTTTCTAAAACCGCGGCACCTGTTTTAGCAGCACCGGCCAGTGGGGAGGGCCCAGTGGCGCCTAAACCCCCACCAGCCCCACCTGGAACAGTGGCGACGTTCTCAGTCGATGGTGCATTGTCATTAATAGTTGACATTGGAAGAAATTGAATCAGAAAACGTAGAAAAAACTTGAACAAATGTGGATCGGAACTTGAATTGGTAAGGCTTCAAGTACAGCCTGTCACGCTGACTATTTGGACAAGGCTGTATGCTCTTCTGTGTGAAGGCAGAACACACACACACACACAGATGCTCGATCTGAAAAATGAGCAACAACTCTCCCGCGTGCAGATCATCGACCTCCAGGGCCGGGTCAGTAAGCTGGCCATGGTAAGCTGGCCATGGAAACCGACCTGAGCAGCATCACAATGGATGCCCGCGGACTGATCAGCAGCAATTCAGCAGCAATCGGTTCTTTTATTGGGACAGCATCGTTATCACGACCGACAGGAACAAAGATGAGGGCAGCATCCGGGCCTGCCTCGCCGAGCGGGGCCTGCACATGCTTGACATCAGTCTCCTCACTCGTACTGAGAGGCCAGATCGCAGCACGAAGAGCTGGCTCATTGACATCAGGAAAGACCCGGCCAAATACTTCAAAGCCGCACCTGACCTGAAAAGGTTGGGTCTTCGGGTAGAGATGGATGCTGAGAACGATGACGATGCTGTAAATGTGCCTTCCAAGGGCTGTGCTGGCAGAGTCGGTGTTACTGGTAGCGGTGGTGCAGCTGCCGGTGGCAGCATGCCGCCACCACCACCACCACCACCTCCCATGCCAATGGCATTACCACCAGCCGCCCCACCACCAAATCCGCCGTCTTACAGACAGCAGCTGGGGGTGAAGAACCGAGAAGCACCCGTGGCTTCACTGAGTGCAGTAAAAGCGAAAGGCGGCAAGTACCCACGTACAGAGCCAGTATACGGGCTCATATACTCAGCATCACCTAGTAGGCTCGATCAGTCCCAAAACCAGGCACCAGCACCTCGTGATCCGAGGCCCATCTTTGCCGCCGGCCACACCATGGATATTGACGGCTTCGCTACACCTCAGGGCGGAGGAGTGCTAAGGACCAGGATCGAGACTAGGGGTGGGAACTTACGCTTTACGGTTTTACGCCTTACGCTTTTCGGTTACGGTAAATTACGGTCGGGCCCAAAAACGACCGTAATTTCGGTGTGACGGCGTAACGTCAATTACGGTGTCCATTTTGTCTGTTAACTTAGGGTGTCCGATTTGCCGCGAAAACCTTGCTTCGAAGTTCGAAAACGCACCTCAACATAGCCACAACTAAGTAGATCTATACCAGCACCAAGGTAGCTATGTAAACAATGATACTAGAAATCAGCACTCTGCTCATTCTGAAGTGGTCGTGCATTTATTTCCGTGCGAGCGCGCCAATCGCGATGTCGTCATCGCTGTCCGTGTCCGGCACCCACGCGAACAGAGGTAGCAGCTAAAAGAAAATGTTATTTATTGTTACTATAATTACTAAAACGTTTTGGGTTCACGAAAATGGCCACTGGTACGGGACCGTAAAGCATTGCATGTTGATTAAGTGCTCGTCCTGTAGTGCAGTACGGCAAGTGCGGCGCGGGAAGGCGCAGACCAGAATGGGCCAGAGGACAGGGACTGATACGGTAGTTCGTTACAAAGTTTAGCTGGGAACAAAGCGCTGAATCCAGACAACGCAAGTTCGCCAGTCAACCATGCAAGCAAGCGCAAGTCAGAACGTCGTCTGTTGGGGAGTTTGAATTGTTTAAATAGGGATTTACTTTGTATTCGTGACCCAGCTCAATAGGAAAGTAGATAAGGCGATCCGACGTTGCTGGCATATCGGTCGCCAGTAACAGCGAAGTGATGGCAGAGCGCGAGGAATCGCGCGGCGGAGTCCAAGAAGGCTTGGAGGACATCATTCAACAGCGAGACGAAGGAGGACGTCAGAATGGCGGACCAACTAGTTACCCGGAGGGGGCCGATGCGGTTCATCCGAAGGAGGTCTCGCGAAGGGCCGAGCTACCGTGTGGAGCTGCATTCTATCCGGAAGGCCAGCCCAGGGGGCATGCTTTCGCGCAGCGAAGCGCCCAGGCTGAGGCGCCTTAGGACGTTAGGTTTAGTTGCAAGCATCCGGAAGGCCAGCCCAGCGGGTATGCTGTCGCGCAGCGAAGCACCCAGGCTGATTTGCCTTGGGCCGGCAGGTTTTGGTCGCATGCATCCGGAAGGCCAGCCCCAGCGGGTATGCTGTCGCGCGGCGAAGCACCCAGGCTGAGTTGCCTTGGGCCGGTAGGTTTGGTCGCATGCATCCGGAAGGCCAGCCCCAGCGGGTATGCTCTCGCGCGGCGAAGCACCCAGGCTGAGTTGCCTTGGGCCGGCAGGTTTTGGTCGCATGCATCCGGAAGGCCAGCCCCAGCGGGTTTGCTGTCGCGCGGTGAAGCACCCAGGCTGAGTTGCCTTGGGCCGGTAGGTTTGGTCGCATGCATCCGGAAGGCCAGCCCCAGCGGGTATGCTCTCGCGCGGCGAAGCACCCAGGCTGAGTTGCCTTAGGCCGGTAGGTTTGGTCGCATACATCCGGAAGGCCAGCCCCAGCGGGTATGCTCTCGCGTGGCGAAGCACCCAGGCTGAGTTGCCTTAGGCCGGTAGCTTTGGTCGCAAGCAACCCGGCAGGCCCGCCACAGAGGCATGCTCCCGCGCAGGGTTGAATTACCTTGAACCCGCCTGCATGGATCCGCTTCTGGAAGGCCAGCACTAAGGGTGGTTGCCCTCGCTTAGCGAATACCCAGGTTGGGTTGCCTGAGGCCGTTAGCCTTGACCCAGAGAATGCCTTCACGACGCAATGGAACCGCGTACAGGAAAGGGACAAGGAAGGCTCAGAGGAGGGACAGGAAGAGTCGTCAGACAGCGACGACGCCCGCAAAGAGGCTTCATCGGCGAAGGCGAATAGGCGAAGCAAGGGTAAGCGGCTCCGTACGCGAGGACTTGGAGTCGTGGCCCCATCCCCAAAGCGCGTGGCGGTGACGCGGCTACCGTTGCACGGACCGGTACGAGTGAGGCTGCCGTCGGAGGCGTGGACTGAATTTGCCGGGGAAGAAGTACCACGGGACTCAAGACAGGGCCAGGGAGACCCGGAGCATGAAGAGAGGCGGATCACGGCGCGGTATATCAGGCGGTACGGCAGGGAAGGCTGGAAGCAACTGCTGCACGAAGAACTCCAGGAAGAGGGAGAGGGGGAGCAGCAGCAGTTGGACGAGGGCCGAACGTGGGGCCTCGAGGAAAGCAGCCCAGCAACGCGGGGGCAGGAACAATGCCCCAGGTGGCCGCTGCTGGTCCGGAGGGGCAGCTCGCAGTTTACAGCGTCGTCACAGAAAAGGACGTCCAGGAGGCTCACCGCCGCCGTAAGGAGGCACTTAGGGCCGCTCGGAAGGCGCTGAATCTCGGGGAGTCTGACCGCGTCCCCAACACCCAGCTGTGGGCGACCGTCATGACCCAGGCTGGGGCAATGATGGAAGGCCCATGCGGGCTGCGAGTGGTGAAATCCGCGGTATCGGCGATGCTGGAGCAGGCGGAAGAGGCGGTTGTAGACGCTTTGGCCAATGTGGGCCCAGGGCTGGTCACGGAGCTGCGCGCGTGCTTTAGTGGTGCAATAGAGCCGCATCGTCGCGGAGTGCTAAAGTTTATAGGTCAGCAGGCCAAGCAGGCCTCGAAGGAGCGCTTTGTAGGGCAGGTAACGGGACACCTGGTACAGTGGGGCTGGGTGGAGACGAGTCTGGCGACATTGAAGTTGCGGGCTCGTGATGCACGGCTGCACTGGTTGGAGGGCGCACTACAGGCCGTGAACGTGAGCACGCCGACGTTTCTGGAGATGAAGGAGCGCGCCTGGCCGGCCGTGATCCTGTTGATGCGCGCGGCCCAGAAAATCCACGATGGTCATGACAAGATGGCGGAGAATATCCTGAAGCACGGGGGAGGGGACGGTGGCGACCGCAGGCTGTTGTGGGGGCCCGGCGCAGCAGGGGAAGGGCGGCCACCGGGGGGCCCCGGCCGCCCAGAGCAGAGGACTGCGGGTTGGGGACAAGTGGGTGGGGGCTGGGAGCGCCTCACGCCGGGGGCCGCGGAGTGCAGCGCCTGAGTCCACCTGCTAGCGTGGTGGCAGCGGTAAATCAGGAGCTAGACCGACGGGGATTCCAGGGAGTGGGCACTGTGTCAATCTCGGAGATTGCGTACCGAGGCAACGTAGATGGCAGCAAACTCTGCATTAGCCACGCGTGGAACGGGCGCTGTGCCCGGGCGCAGACGGGGCAGCCCTGCCGGTTTAAACACCCGGCAACGGAGGCAGAGCAAGTGACGCAGCTGGTGGACGCCCTGGTTAGCCGCAATGAAGCGATGCGCAAGGTATAAGTTGTAGTCAGGGGCGCGGGAAACAAGACAATCGGCGGGAAGATAGCTGCTGGTGGGTCGGTTCTGTCGGTGGCGGCTGGAATAAAGCCTGTCACGGTCCAGGTGTTGGACGAGCGGCCTGTGACTGCCGTTCAGGACTGGGGACAGCGGTGCGGTTCTGGTTACGGTAGGGGGCAGCTCTGCCCTTTTGGACACCTAAGTGTAAGCTCAAAGACCTTCTTATCTTGTTTCCCGCCCCCCACCGGTTATTATTCGGCTTATAGGAGACCCAAGCCCAGAGGCCTTTGCTAACCAGGTCGACTGAGAGCACGCAGGGAACGGCAAGGGACGATGACAGGAAACCTGACGTGGGTTACCCGGCAGACACTCAGGATGGCGACGGAAGGGATCCGACCGAGTTGGTGTCGCTGGAAGATGACCCTTGCGAAGACGACCAGTGGGTGAGTGACCAGCCGACAGGGTGGGAATCCAGAGGCGTAGGACTAGCACCGGCCCGGGAAGGGAGTGCCCACAACGCCGCGGGCAGGGAAGCACTCCAGCTGCTACAGGAAGCCTGGCAGAGGTTACAGCGGCTGGGTCAGCCGGACGCGGTAGATCCGCGGGATGAACAGGAGTTTCTTGAAGAGGTCGTCCGTTTGCTCCCGGACCCCGAAGACTTCCAACCCGGAAGGTTACGACTACATGTTGCAGTGTGGCGAGCGTTCTTTCAGGCAGCTAACGAAGGCCGGCCCCTCACGGATAAACAGAAACAGTGGCTAGAATACCTGCGGGGCGGGATCCAGCTGGAGTGGGTGTCGTGCGACTACCCAGGGCAAGAACTAGCCCCGGAGCGGGGACGCAAGCTAGCTATAGTGCGTGAAATGCTGCGGGTCGCGGCGCCGGATTGCGACATAGACTTTATGATGGCGGGTGACCGGCCGCGGGCCGTGCAGTTTCCTAACCATCGCAGCGCGACTCAGCACCATGAGTTTGTTACAGCCGAATTGAGAAAGGCCCTGGACCGAGGAGTGATACGGGAATGGCCAGCCGACGAGCCTTCCCCCACGGTCGTCAATGGCTTGCGGGTGGTGGAAAAAGACGGAAAGCTGCGCCTCTGTATTAACCCGATGTACATTAACTGTTTCTTGAGGTACCGGCCTGTGAAGTATGAACGACTGGCAGAAGTCCCTAGCTACCTCTTACCGGAAGATTGGTTGTACACCACGGACGACAAGAGCGGGTACTGGCAGCTATCACTCCACGAACGGGAGCACACATATCTGGCTATGCGGTGGCGGGGGCAGACGCTTTTTTGGCCACACCTGCCGTTCGGCCTGGCGCCGGCCTGCCACTTGTACACAAGTATGAAGCTCGAGGTTTTCCGGCCTTTACGGCAGCTCGGGGTCCACATGTCTTTCCTGATAGACGACCAGATGGGTGCCGCGGGGTCGAAGGCCGCGGCACAGTTCCAGTGTGGGGCGGTGGTACGGCTGCTGGCAGCCCTGGGCTTCACCCTCAGCCTGTCCAAGTGCCAGCTGATTCCCAGAAGGCGAGTCCGTTTCTTGGGAATGGAGGTGGATGCGGAGGCGCAAGCATTCAGAGTACCAGACGACAAGCTAGCAAGATTCCGTACGCTGCTTACACAGCTCGAAGGGGAGCGGCTAACAGCGCGGCAGGTGGCTCAGGTGGCCGGCAAAATCATCGCCATGACGCCCGCCGTCACCACGGCACCTCTGTATGCGCGGATGGTGTGGCGCGTAGCCCGGGGTGTGGCGTGGGACAAAGAGGTTTGGGACCCGGCGGAGGTGTTACGCCAGGCAGGCTTGTTCACGGAGCTGCTGGGCAGGCGCAACGGGACAGCCACTTGGCGGAAAGGACCAGCCCTACGACTGACGACGGAGCTAGTCG